AAAAAAAAAAAAAAAAAAAAAAAAAAAATTTAGTCATATTTCTTTCAATAAAACTACAAAAAGTAGGGTGGTTTTTGTTTTTCTTTTTTCTGTAAAATTGCTGTAACCATTGACTGATCAAAAATATGTAGTCAATTGACCCATTCATTGGCAATACTTGACTGGGCAGTTGACCAGCTTGCCAATACTTGTCTTTTTTTTTTTTTTTTTTTAATTAGCAAATTATTATACCAAAACATGCATTCTTTTCAGCAAGAGAAACTTTATTCAGAGCATTTCTATCCTGATACAAATTCAAGCTAGCTGAATAGCTTTGTTACCATATTGGACAACTGAATGAATTTAAGCCAGCCACAAACAGCAAAATACAAATAAGCAACCTATGATCTATATCTAACTCTCATTCTAAAAGTCACCAGCAGTGCTAGGAAAGTAACTAAGGGCTCCTATAGATGTGTGGGGAGCCTGCTCCAATACTCTAGAAATAGTGTGCTGGAGCACAGAAATTGATGTGCTCCAGCAGCCTTCTGCAGCATGTGCATCAGCATCCCCGCACTGAAAAAATGGGGGGGGGGGGGGGGCGCAAGAGAAAGGGGGGGGGGGGGGGGGGGGTGCTTTGAAATAAAACACGTTTTATGAGCTTTAGTTCAGAGCATCCCTCTGACATTTTTTTCAGTATGGGGATGCGCAGGGATACTGATACAGATGATGCACAGGTGCTTTTAATTAGCTTGGCTCACTAATTAAAGTGCCCGGTGCTGCATCCCAGAACACATGTGAAAATGCCCTTAGTGACTCTGTGACAGAATAAGATGCTTTTCACTGTAGGATACCACTTAAAAATCTTTCCAGACTATATTGAAAACTGTCATTATGGCTAATTGGCCAATATGAAATAGTTGCTGTCAGTCTGGTTCCCACTGGACATCAAATCTAGTACTAATTGTCCAGCTCAAATGAAAGCTGAAATGGACAAAGTAGCTCAAAATCCATTCTATCATCATAAAGGTACGTAAACAAGATGTAACGGGGCCTTTTCGGGGCCAGTACACCATTGGCCCGCCCACCTGTCCTGGGCTAACTGCCCGCCTCACTCATCTTCCACGCCTTGTTGTTTCATAATTGGTTCTAATTAGGCAGGAGGCTGTATATTCTTGCCCTGATGCCAGGGGATGCTATCTGTGGCTTCAATCCTCCTTTACACTAAGCCTAAGCCTTGCAGATGGCATCTGCCAGTGGTTTGCACTAGGTCTTTCATAAAATATATACACAAACAAACAAACACATGGGGGCTCCACATTGGAGTCCTCTTCCCCTTGGGGCTCAGGTGGCCACAGCCCTGGCTGGCCCTAGAGTCTTACAACCCCACACTGCCCCTTCAGTGGGGCTCTGCACACTGCCTTGTTCAGCTCAGGTGGCTGTAGCCCTGCCTGGCCCTTTGCCCTGTGGTATTACACCCTTTGAGGCTCAGGTGGTCACAGCTGTGCCTGGCCCCCTCTCAGGGTCCCTGCAGCCACAGGACTCGCAAAGAGCCTGGGTGCTGCTCCAGGTATCTCCGCTGACTTGGGCCCTGCCTCAGGACTCCCATGAGCCTAGGCTCCCCATGAACCAATTGAACCCACCAGGGATGTGGGAGCTGGGGTTATTAAGGTGCCCTGACCCACCTGGCACCAGGATGGTAACTGGCGAGGTATTTCCTAGGGGCTCCTGCGCCACTGGGAGCCCCACCAGACCACCCACTCCCAGCAGGGTGCAGTTTTAGGTCATTCCTAGGACCAAGAGCCTCCTGCTCCTACCTGCACATGTTTTATTAAGCAGTCCAGCCAGGTGATGTTTCTGCCTCCCTGCAAATAGCAAACTACTCTGTTTACATAGGTGGCCATGGTTTTAAAATGGCTGCTGCAATCAAGCATCTGCTGGCTGCTTGACAGGGTCCTTAAATTAGCAGGCACCAACAGTGCCCTGCCACACAAGACTACATGGTGAGGGGAAGCTTGCATTGCTGCTATCTCTGCTGTATTCTTCTGTGGATAAATAAGACCTGGTGTACAGTAACATCAGATCTAAATTCTTCCACCAGGGCTGTCAGGAGTTTCATCCCTTCTACAGATCAAATGTCAGTATTAAAATTGCTTGTCACCAATTGACATAGCCATGAGCTGATTTATGGTAGGTTTCCAGCTGTTGTAGCTGCACTCAATGTGCACAGGGAGATGGATGAGATGGCTCCGTGGTTATGGAACTAGGCTGGGACTTGAGAAGCCTGGTCTGATTCTGTGCTCCTCTAGACTTCCTGTGTAACCATGGGTAATATAGGCATATGAGAAGCAAGGATTTCTTTGGGTGATATCTTTTATTGGACAAACTATGTAGTTGGGATAAAGTTAGACAAGTTTTCAAATGCAAGGCATTCTTTCTCAGGTCACTGATAAGGTATTTAGGCATCTAGCTTCCACTGAGTTTTTGCAGTGCCTCAGCTTCTCATCTGTAAAACTGATTGTGTGGTACTGTTGCTCAGATACTTGGGTAAAGGAAATTACATACACCCTCCTAATCTCTATCTATGGTGCTTAACAAAAATATTAGTTTTAACTAATTAGTATAACCAGACCTAAAATGTATGCGTTTTCAGTGATCTGGCGCTCTTCATGAGCACTTATAAACCTTTGTGACATCTAAAATACCTTTCAACTTTTATAGTCACAGTAGGCAAGAAAGAAACCAAGGTGCCATCTTTGAAGAAACTTTATAAGATCAATGACTGATGGACTCGGAAGAAAATGAATCTACTAGACTTATCTCTGCTCCTTGCTTTTCATCTTGTAAGGCCCCAGGGGTTGTGAATTTGGTATATTAAATTGCATTTTCACTGAGGTCACTGGATGAAATAGAATGGTTCCATCAAGATACGCAGAGAGAGAGAGGTTATAGGCAATTGAATTATAAGGGATTTATAGCACTGGGTAGCCAAGGTTATCTGACAAAGTACCCTGCTTACTATGTGTTATGTTGAGATTGTAGGAATCAGAACTCTGGGTAGAAGTGATATCTTTTTATTAGACCAACTAGATATTTGCAAATAAATTCTTTATTTGTAAGCTTTTGGGCGCGCACACCTTTCTTCAAGCATAGATAGTAACATTTCTCCTAGGTGGAAATAATTCCTTTTGCCTGTAGACCAATACAGCTATAACTTGTATCCCTGAAATATGTTGAGAGATATGTTGTTGCACTCTCATCTATAGCTCACTTTGGTCTAAATTGTGGGACCACAACTTTGTTCGTAGACCTGCTCAGCACTTAATAAAAGTTTTACATATATTTGTTGTCCAGGTATCGTATTAATTTATGTTGTTTGTATTGAAAACAGTTTGTTCCAATTGTCCCAAGAAATAGCCTTTCAGGCTGGTGCCATTTAAGGAAAGATGTGAACAGGCAATAACTTAGAATCCTGGTCTGTGGGGAAGTACACTTAAAAGATAAATACAAGAGTAACAGATGACAGGAAAATAGCTGTTGAAGGATGCTGAAGCTAGATGGTTTTTAGTGGTAGCAGGTAACAGAACAAGGAGCTATGGTCTCAAGTTGCAGCAAGGGAAGTTTAGCTTAGATATTAGGAATTTTATTCTAACTAGGAAGGTAGTAAAACACTGGAACAGATTACCCAGAGAGGTTGTATACTCTTTATCCTTGGAGGTTTTTAAGACCCAGCTAGACAAAGCCTTGGCTGGGATGATCAATGTGGGGATGGTCCTGCTTTGAGCAGGGGGTTTGACTAGATGACCTCCTGAGGCCCCTTTCAACCCTAGTTTTCTATGACGATTTTACTCTGAAAAGAATGGTACCATGTTATGCAACAGATCTGCTTGTAGTCATCATATCTGGTGACTTTCTAATTCTACACTTCATAGGACTGTAAAGCTAAACCAACATGGAGCAAAGGTAGGTTTTAAGTCACTTGTTTACTAAGCTTCAGTCAGTTCAGTCTATGCAAACAGATGACTGTGTTTCTGGGAGAACCTTAGAGTCAGATTAGGGAAAGGCGGCAAAAACCTTACCAATTATAAAATGCATCTTCATCAGTTTATGAAAGAAATTATATGGGGCTTGTGATAGCAGGAGCCTGGGTCTGATGACCGTGGACCCCTCCAGTCCCTTGCCCTTTTATTGAGGCTGCACAGCTGTC